TCCCTGCAGCGTGGTGGCTGCGCTGAGCAGCTGGGCAGGAGACTGGGTAGGACCTGGGCCTGCTGCCCAGGCCACAGGGAAGTCCCGCCTCTGTCCTAGGTGCTGAAATCCTTCCAGGTGGAGACACTAGTCCAGGAGGATGTGAAGCTGGTGTACCAGTTCGTTTTGAGACCCGCCTCCTGTCTCCTCCTCACTTTTTGGCCTGTCAACTAGTCACATCTGCGCACTGAGGGTGCCAGCCCCACCACCAGCCTCCCTCTGCCCTGACCCCAGCCCACCTCTCTTCTGTCCCAAGGGCTCTGCTTCCTGGGCCCCAACACGGTCCAGCCAGCCCCTGGCCCAGTGGACTGGCCCAAGACCCAGGGCAGGACAGGGCTTGCCGGGCTGTGCAGCAAAGCCAGGACGCACTGAGGAGGATCTTGGTGGCAAGTCCAGGCTTTGTCGCCAGCCTCACGGAGCAGTCTGCTGGGACATGTTCCGCAGCCCGCTTGGCAGCAGCTCCTGCTCCTCCTGGCCATCCAGCRGCCTCTGATAATGCCTCCCCCATTGGCTTCCTGTGCAGCCCCATTTTCCCTGTCCTCCTATACCCCCCTCCCCTTAATGTATGTGCCTGGTTTGAGAGACAGGAGGAGGAACCTAGCATCTGAGGGACCAGGTTGACCTCATTTTTGGCCTCCATTCTGCAGCAGCTCATGAGTGAGATAACTCTGCACACCAATCACCATGGAGCATCACCCTGTAGTGCCTAGTGCAATATCCCCATGGTGRCTTAACCCTGCACATACCCATTGGCGAGGATAGAAATCTGAGTCTGAACAGGATGTAACTGGACATGTCACTAGTGTCAGTTTCTGGATTCAAAAGTGAGATAACAAGATATCTCTTCCCCTGTGGGCGGAACGGAGCAGTGGCACAGCCACTTTGAGAAACTGCCTTGCTACTCCTCCAGGAGCACATGTGGAGGTCCTAGCAGACCCTACATCTTCACCCTAGGCTTATACCCAGAGGGCCCAAGGTCACAGGAGAGCTTCTGTAGCTGTTGATGGCAATGTTACAAAGGTGCAGAAACTCCAGTGTCCATCAGCTGAGGAAGGGATCCACAAAATACGTGTGGCACTCATCCAGCGAGACATGACTCAGGCATAAAAGTGAAGAACTAGCACATCTGCATGGGTGAGCCCTGAAAACACCATGCTAACTGCAAGAAGTGGGTGACCAATGTCACACGTTATAAACTCCATTCCTAGCACATGTCAGGATTGGAAACCCACAGACAGAAAACAGGCAGCAGTGGTGGCCTGGGTGGGTAATGGGGTCTGGGGTTTATTTATTTTTTSGTGGGGGAGGAGAAACCAGGGATTGAACTCAGGAGCACTCGACCACTGAGGCACATCCCCAGTCCTATTTTGTATTTTATTTAGAGACAGGGTCTCAGTGAGTTGTTAAAGTGCCTTCTCGTTGCTGAGGCTGGCTTTTAACTTGCAATCCTCCTGCCTCAGCCTTCCGAATTACTGGGATTACAGGTGAGTGCCACTGCACCCAGCTTCAGTGTTTATTTTTGAGGTCACATAAGTGTTCCAAACTGGACTGTGGTGATGACTGGTGAATCTGTGAATGTACAAAACATTCCTCTATTCTACACAGAATTGGTGGGTTGCATGGTGTGTGATAACATCTCACTAAAGTTACAGAGCATAAGAAGTGCCTAGAGGAACAAAAGCAGCTCACCTGATGAAACCACAGAGGAATTCCTGAATTTGCAGGGAGGCAGAAAAGAGCAGCAGCCTCACTGTAGCACCTGAGGACTTGAAGGGAAACCAGCATTCAGGCACGTTTCCAACCAACAGCATTTTCCTTTATTTTGCTCTTACAACAAGGCATGAAGGGGCCAACGGGAGGCCTGACACATCAGCGTCTCCAAGAGAGAACAGCAGCATTCTGAGCAACAGGGGAAGATGAATGGACCTCCAAGAGGCCATCTCAAGTCACTGTATTACTGACGATGATGGAAGCAAAGCTCAGGAAAAATTTTGGTTCCCCCAAATATGCAGACCCTTCTAGTAGATCCTTCTCAATTATTTCCTCGCCAGTGGTTCCTTCTCCACATTAGAAGGTTCTCCAAAATTGCATGTCATCCCGCTACAACATTGAATAAATTGAAGCTGTTAATCCTCTGGGTTGTTGTGGACTTTTTGGCAGCTGATCTACTTCATATACAACATGCAGTTCAAAGTACAATTCTTGAACATGAGTAATTTATGAGAGTTCAAACATGAAAAGAAGAAGTGTTGGAAATTATTGCATTCACATGTTCTGACTGTACACAGAGCACATTCAACATGACAGGACTGTACATGTTCCAACATTCCCAAATGTTCCAACATTGTGTTGCCAAGAATTTGAGACCAAGAGAGAATATTCAGTTTCATGAGAGGATCTGAATGGTCCACAAGAAAATTCTTCTAAAGGCATTTTTCTCTCCATGGCCAGGCTGCCATGGACCCTTCAAATGGCATCTTGGTACTTTGCATGTAGGTATACAAATTAAATGTTCTGCTCATTTTTTTTTCTAAGTGTTCTAGAGCTCTAGAAAGTAAGGAAGACCAGAAACCATTCTCCACGTATAACCAGTGACTTCTGTGCCGTTAACACCGTGGCCTGTGTTGACGTGGCATGCCCCTTAACRGGGAATGGGGCCCCAGGCCTCTCCTTCTCCTGGGTTTCTGGTTTTTGTTTTATTGTTGTTGTGGTGGTGGTGGATGGTTAGTTTTATGTTGTGTGTGTGTGTGTTTGTGTGCGCATACACACAATGAACTTCCTGGCAATGACGCGAGCAGTTTTGGTCCTCCACCTGCTCCGTGAGGTTCAGCCCCAGGCTCAACCAGTCATGGACTGAAACCTATAAACCTGTGAGCCCAAACAAACCTGCGTCCTTATGATTATGTGAGGTAGAGGCTACAATAACAGGAAGTTGACTCAAACCAGGTCAAGTGCTGTAGAAGGCCACCATGCCTGCGCAGACTACTGGTCTCTGCTTCACTCCACCCTACAAATGTCATTCAGGTTTCTCCCTTTGCCAGCTCTAATGCAGCCACACCGGGATGCAGATCCTCAGAAAGCATCGGCCAGTCTCACTTGCAACAATAGTTGAGAAATGACAACACATAACCCACAAGGTCCCCACCAGTGGCCCACCACGGTGACAAAAGCAGATTCTCAGCCTCCTGCTGTCCCAACTCAGCACATCACCACAGTGTGAGGGCACTTGGTCCAGTGAAGAAGGGGCAGTCTGGAGGTCTTTACACCCAGCTCGGGAAACAGAAAGGCACCTGAAGCTGCAGAAACCAACTCAGATGGGGGAAGACAGCAACCAGGGGAAGGGTCCTGAACTGGGCCCAGACGAGACCTCCAGCTGTCTGTCACAACCCCACAGACTGCCTGCCTCTGGGTCCCTGAGCCTCTGGCCACATGGGTCGTCGCAGTAATGCCCT